CATAGCCTCAGACGTCAATCGGCCTCAACTTAATTTCCTCTCGGTCACGCGGCTTGCTGGAGGGAATGATTCCCTTGTTTCTTCTAACCAATTATATTAGAACACGTGTGTAAGTAAAAAACACCTTAACATATACCGTATATTTTTTTTCAATATAGCTTGTTAATGCAAATTTTTATGTAAACGCAATGCTTCAAGGTTTCACAAAATCTTTAAAAAAAAATATATACAACCTTATATATTGCTTTTATTTATTTATATTTTTCATTAATAATGTTATTTGTATTGTAGTGTATCATAATTAGTTAATAAAAAAATATGATTAAACACATTTTTTTCATAGTCGGATCTTTTAAACAAAAACATACAAAAATATAAATTAAAAGCTTAATTTTTTTTTAAGTTATTTTTCATCATAAACCACAATTTTTTCCAACAGTGTAGTTTCTATTATTTGTTTATATAAATATATATTGTGTTGATTTAGAATTTATAAAAAATATATCCATACATGTATAAATTTTAGTTTAAACTCACTAAAACACATTGTTTAAAAATTGATCTCCATTAATTCATTATCACATACGTATTATTATTATAGAAAATTATAAACTAGTAATGTGTGATGTTAGTGTGTGGTTGATAAGTAAATGTTAAAAAAATACTTAATTGGTAAAAAAAAAAAAATTAAAACACTCTTATTTTTTTTATACTATACATGATTTAAAATTTAATAGGTCAACATTTCTATTAGATTATCTAAAGTTTGAATATGAAATACATTATATGACATTTTAGATATTTTTACATGTGTTATATAACATTTTAGGTGTTTATAATATTTTAATTAGAGACATATTATATTCTCTATGCAAGTTAATTGTATTACATGTTAATTCATATCTTTAATTATTATTACATCTTAATATCTTCTCAAGATTATAAATACTATTTATAAATTATAGTATATTAGTTATTAGGATTAAAAAAATTGTTAAGAACTGAGAGATTTATATTAATGCTTATTTTGTTAATTCACTGATTTATTGAGGCGGCATGAGCACTCACCTACATATTGTTGAGTTAATAACGTAATATACAACTTCCCGTAACAATAGTGAATATCCAATTATCTACAATAAATAAACCGAGAATAGATTTTTGCATAAAATAAGTAATCGCTCGCTCCTCTTTCTCTCCCTCACTCTCTCTCATTTTTGCATAAAATAAGTAATCGCTCGCTCCTCTTTCTCTCCCTCGCTCTCTCTCACATACAGAAGCACTCAAGTAAACGTCAAACCATAAACAATCTTGACATGCATCACTTTAGAAGGTGCGCTATGCGAACAGGAATTAATTATCATCTTCTATTTCATCTTTTAATCGCATTTTTTTTCTTTCTTCCATGAATATCTCTCTATTTTTGCATAAAATAAGTAATGGCTCGCTCCTCTTTCTCTCCCTCTCTAATAATTCTCTCGCTCTCTCTCACATACAGTCGCTCTCTCTCACATACAGAAGCACTCAAGTAAACGTCAAACCATAAACAATCTTGACATGCATCACTTTAGAAGGTGCGCTATGCGATTATTTGAAGAAGGAATTAATTATCATCTTCTATTTCATCTTTTAATCGCATTTTTTTTCTTTCTTGCATGAATATGAATTGTTTTCTTGATTTCTTTTTTTGGGAAGGGCATCCGCTCGAGTTTTTCGTGGCATATTTGATTTTTGATAATTGCTGTTGGGTGGGGTATACATACAATACGTGGACACTTACTTAGATTAAGACTAACATACTCCTCTAACTATTTTATTGATACACTCTCTCACTCTTCAAATACATAACACTATACATTGCAAATGAGGAGGTCCTCTCTATTTATAGTCACCACCTCCTCTAATAAAATATCTAGAATATATAATGGCTTGGGCATTCTAGAGACTTTTACAAAACTTACACAAATTCCCTACTACAATTCCCTACATGTTTGTTATTTGTACAAAACTTACACAAATTCCCTACTACAATTCCCTACATGTTTGTTATTTGGGATGGGATTGTAATATAATAATCCAAAGTTGTGGGTTTGTATTGTTTGGATTACTTTTGTCATGTGTTTGTTATGTGTCATTGGTGTAGGATAACTTAAAGTTTTTAAAGAAAAAAGGAGAAAATGATTTTAATCAACACAAACCAATATCATAGTGTAAAATACTACTCCATTTTGCCCCTAAATTTCACCAGTTTATTTTTACCGAACTTTCACCAATATTCATTCTCAATTTAACGCTACTCCTTGATTTTATTTTTGAATTTCGCTTCAGAACTTTCACCAAAATTCATTCTCAATTCAAGTGTAGCTAAAGGACAGCTGATGGTTTTTCCTTACGGTACAAAATTGGAACAAGTAACTTCATGCAAAAGATGGACTTTGAATGATTCTTCCACTACTGTTGGGGAGGTGTATGCTGATGTGGGAAGTCCTTCCATTTTCCGTCTAAGGTCTGAAGCGAGTTACTTTGATTTATCCAAGGGTTCCATTTTCAGTCTAGGTTTTGGTTGTCTTTGATTTGTTAGTATAGGTTTCCACAGATTGAAAAGCAGATGAAAGAAAATTTACAGATCAAATTATCCGCATAAGGTGAATTCGTGAAGAAGGAATACCTTCTTATAGATCCTGCAACAAATGATCTTTTCGAGATTGCCAAAGGATAGAGTTCTATTTTGGTTATCATCCTTTTTTCTTCGGGCTAGGGTTCGATTTCTGTTCGAGTCCGATCTGAGGATGAATAATGGGAAATTTGATTATATATTGGTAGGGTTGTAATTTGTGTGTTAGGGAGGGTCAAAATTGTCCGAAAAATTCAAAATGAGGGTAAATTCGACTTTAAGCTTGTTGGGATTGGATTAATCCCATAGAAAAGACGAGATTAGAGATGTTAAACAGGCTAACCCTAGCGGTTTTGAGCTAAACGATCTGATCTTAAAAAGCCTGGATTTAAAGGGGCTGCCAATAAAGAGACATAACCTTAACCCTAGCGGGCTTCGTGCTAAACGGGATATGCGGGCTATAATAATAATAATAATAATAATAATAATAATAATATATTAAAAAATAAAAAATAAAAGGAGTACAAAATATAAAAAAAAATAACAACGACTAGTTAACAATTGTTTTCAACGACTATTTAGTATTTACCGTCTATCATTATGTTTCATGTGTTTCCTATAAGTCGTGCTGATTGACTTAAATATTTTAGTGTGAAGTGCAATAACATTATTGTTAATAATTATCTTTCAAAATCATAATAATCTATTACAACTCATACTGAATAGCAAAATTATAATATACAAAGAATCTAAGAGCATATACTTACTTGATGTAAATATTTACACCGCTCAACCCTAGTTAAACGGGCCAGCCCTAGAGGGTTTCGGGCTAGTCCTAGCGGGCTTCGAGTTAAACGGGTCAGCCTGTCGGGCCAAAGACCATTTAACATCTCTAGGCGGGATTGAATTATCCTGATTTCATGGGATAATTCACTTTTTTATCCAGAGCCGCGATCCAATCCCGCAGGCTTCAATCCACCGTACCAAACGCAGGATCAAACATGGACTATAATATTTGAGAAGACTCTAGAGCACTCTATATTACTCTCAAAGGTTCCAAATGCTTCTAGATTCTTTCACATGGTTCCTTCTACATGGTTCCGGGACGTTCTCCACTATTCCGGGTCTTTCTAGATGCTTCCGTTCCACAATGTTCCAGGACGTTCCTTATTTTTCCAAATTGAGATCGTTGCTCCGATAACTTCTACAAGCATCTAAGACCTTCCCAAAAGGAGGTGATATTTTAACACTCCTCCTCAACACCAACTTTTGCTCTGTTCTCTGTTCAGTACGATGATCGCCGACCCCACTTTTGGCTCAAAAGACGTGAAGTGCACCGCCAACCAACCACTCGCGGCCAAGAGGGTCAGCTCTCCTTTCTCTCCTCTGTCTCCGAGCCTGCTTCCTTGCATAACAAAAGCGATATTGTATAACAGGATCTCGCTTTATAATTGATCGCTCGACTCCTATTTTAACCGCGAAGAATTGTAGACAGGCGAATTGTAGAGAAAGAGCCTACAGTACCTCTCTTCCCTACGCAAAAACCCGAGCTTCCTCGTTTTCAAATTCAAGACCCAACACCATCTTCAAAATTCCAAAGTGCCCGGAGATAAACAAACCCTTGGAATTAGGGTTTCAGTTGCTGGAATGTCGTCGGAGAAGAGAGCATCGGAGGGCATAGCTTTGCTGTCGATATACGGGGACGAAGACAATGACATGGACGACCTCGAGTTTGAGAGAGAAAATCCGTTATGCTCTATCCGCGTCAGATGACATCTCCGTGAAAGATAACGATGTTATTGCTGGTGATTTCGGCCATGGAAATTATATGCAGCGGCCACAAGACGATGATGATGGTAAGGAATTTGATTATGTTACTTCGTCAGCACCTGCAATTCCAAAGGAAGCTCTCTTTTCACCTAAACAGCAACAGCAGAAACAGAAATTGGGTAAAAAGAGTTGAATGCTTATTGTGGATTTTTTTTTTTTTTTTCAAAGGGCAATAGATTTCCCTATACTTTATATTTCTTCTAAATATTTCGATTATTCTATAAATTACTCTAACAGTGTAATAAATGATGTACCATATTAATACTCCGATCATTTTCAATTATTCAAAATTTTTTAATTTTTGTTTTATTTAATATGCCAAATTATAGCATATGATAGTGTATAATGATTTTCAACATGCATATAGATTTGTTGTGATGCGGTTAGACAACGTGGGCAGCCATAATTTTAATAAAAAAATATATATGTTTTTATATATTATATCGTACTTTAATTTAAGTTATTTTGAATAAAAGACAATGTTGATATTCCAACAAATGTGGCAAGATAAGTGTTGTGAAGCGATACGCTCGCTCCGCAGGCATCAATCTGCCTCCTTCCTTTGTCAATATATAAACCATACCAACAATAAGCTACATACCAACAATACCCCAACAATGTAATCTTTTGTCTGATTACTAATACACCACATTGTCCACACTATAAGATAATTAGTCAGACAAACAATCATAAAGCACAACAATATGAAAACATGTATTTCAGTCCATTGGGAAATGAGTAACAAACATATTCTGAAACCTCACAGCTCACATAAAAACTTGCTTTACAGTATATTCCAACAATCTCCTACTTATACATAAACTTTTAGTATGTAAAGCATGTCACAACACAATTACCGTACATGTATAAAATGGCTCTTTCATCTTTTGTTTGTACACATCATTGACTTAAAAACCTAACTACAAGGCAACAAAACTTTGTATCTTTGCAGTTCAAATCCCATCATCTTTTGTACCATATTTCCCTCAAAACAGGAAAGAGAGATGTGAAGCTAGCAATGGGAGGGTTTTTATTTATTTATTTTTCTCTCAAATCATCAGCAGGATGAAAATCAGACACTCCAAAGACACATATTATGTATGAAACTCTGAATGAATGATGTATATTTTACTAGGATTTTCTTTGGTATGAGCTCCTGCAAAAAAGTTCAACAGAAAAGAAGAAGAAAGGATCAATAAAAAAACCAAGGAACACAAACAAAGTTGCATAACTGTAGAGAATATCATAAGATCATAACAAAGTAACCTCCGAATAAAGCTGGTTCAACGAATTTGATCTCTCGACAAGTGCCTTCTCGACTGACCAAACGGCAATGTCCGCCACAGCCAAGACTCGGATGGCGACTTCAGCAGAGGCGGCGGCACGGGCCCACAACTCCCACCAAACCCATCAATTTCCTCTTTTACCCCTAATAACCCCACACCACCACTCAAATACTTCTTAACATCCTTAACCTCATCCGCATACTTTGAACTGGCAGTTTTACTCACAGAATCCACGTACAATGTTTTTTCCACGGTAGCTTGGTTCTTTTGGGACGACACATCAAGCAGGGCATTGAACATTTTACGTGACGAGGCTATTTTAGTGTCCATCTCTTTTGGGATGCTCCTGCTTGGGTAGCGTCTGAGGGGGGATTCTCGGGAGCTGAGGAGAGGGTATGAGTCGTGACTGCTCGATTTGCTGTTGTTATTGTTGTTGTTGTTGTCGGGAGAGAGAAAACCCGAGTGGTACTTTTTTGGCGGAGGGTGGAGTTGGAGGCCGTTCTGGAAGGTCAGCAGAACAGTTAGATGGAAATTATTATGGGGTTTAAAGGAAATTTGATTGATGAAAAAGGAAAGGTTTAATTGGATAAAATTAATACAATTTGTCAGAAAATATATATGCAGCTAAGTAACTTAGTTAAGTAGACCGAGCTTGTTTCGGTTCCGGAAAGGCGAAAAGATGGAAAATTGTAGCATTTAAGTAAAAGGAACTGCTTGCGTGAAATAGTTTCATCATCGCAAGTGTATGTACCTGCTTGTTTTCAATAAATTTAAGTGCCCTGATTCGAGTTTATTTTCTTTTCGCAAACCGAATACTCTAGGAGTGAACACAAACCTCAAAGAAGATATATGTAAGTGTTGCAGTGTACCATATAATTTTCAGCTAAACCTCCATCAGAAATCACACCCTGCAAGTAACTCATCCAACTACAGAAACAGCAGAAAATTGAAAAAAAAAATGTGAAAAAAACCCCCCAAAATTACCTTGTCAAGGGGCCCACTGAACGGATTCCTCCTCAACCTCCTCTCCTCGCCAGCCGTAGGTGTCGGGTGACGGCTACTTGACTTCATAGCAGGTATCGGTTTCAGCAGGCACATCGATCTCTTCACGCATATGCGGGGGATAATTCCCCACGACTTCCCAGCCCCCGCCTTCTTGACAACTGGCACTAGAGTACCCCTCTCCCCATCATCCTCCTCATCCTCACTCTCCCCACCATCAAAATCCTCTGTCCCATAATACGAAACCACTTTTTTCTTAACCTCCTTAACAACTCCCTCGTCCGTGGGCCCCACCACTGTCTTCTTGGCTGCGTATTGAGGGTTCTCCAGCACCACCACCGCCTTCGCCGCCGGCAAGAACCGGCTCATCATGAAGTCCCGAGTCTGCTCGTCCACCACCGAGAACATTCCGGAAGGTCTCACGCTGCTGTTAACGCTGCTGCATGAATCGTTCAGCGAGAGCGCGTTTATTGTGTCCGAATATTCGGACTCGTCTTTGCAGTTGAAGCTCTCGTCTAGTTTCTCGATGAGGCTGGCGTGCTGGTTGATGTAGATGGTCTGGTTGGTGGGCCCATGGTTGGATTTGGGCTCGCCAGAGTGGGCCTGACCCGGAAAGCGGGCTTTGGGTTTGGGTTTGGGCTCGTTCTTGGCCCGTCCAGGGATTTGTTCCCAGTTGAATGGGACAGCGGCCGGTTTGGTTGGGCTCTCTTCAGGTGGGGCCCGTTTCTCGACGGGTTTTCGATGGACGAGCTCGAATGAGTTACGTGGGGACGATAAACGCCGTGCGGATAGAAGGGGTGCATTGAAATCCAGCTGCCTTTTCTCCATTGGGATATCAGATCAGAGTGTGATTTCGATCTTTNTGTGCTGTGTGAATTTAGAAATTTAAGTAAAGGAGAAGGAAAGGATGTGATGACAATGATTGACAAAAGAAAGAACAGTGATAAGACAAAAGAAAATAAAATAAATGAAAGGCAGATTGGAGAGAAAACAAGCAAAAGAATATATGATGTTTACGGCAAACAGAATTCAAGAACATACACCGCATAATCAATAAGCAGGATAAGTGGTATAAATTGTTCAAGAAAAAGACATTTCGTTTAAAAAAACAAAAGGCAGACAGATAATTTTTCAGATAATCAGGACAACGAATTATTCATCTATGATGACAGATATATGAAGAAAAACTGAAAAACAGAGGCAAGACTTCAACTTTCCACACAAAGAACGTCAAATGCTGATGAAACCATTCATTTCTCCAGACTTTACTCACCAATGAAATGAACTACAGCAATGAACGCTCAGTAGCTATTCAGAAGAGAATGATAGTCCCCGCAAATAGCTGATTAGGTACTTATTAGTGCGTTCAGAAATTAATAAATTGGAGCAGAAAAGGCAAAAAAAGATAATCAGTTATCTTTATTTCTCGAATGAACAAATCCAATTTTCACCAAACAGAATCAAGAAAAATTCAACAAACAGGTCAATACAATCCATTCGAACCAAAAGATTATATCTACTAAGTAAGCCGCAAACGCGTCCTTTCATCGCATTTCAAAAAACCCACGATGAGTTTTTCTAAAAATCACAAAAATCCGAACTTTAATCCAAGAAAACACCAAAATAATTAAAAAAAAAAAATCTAATATTTGATCTCTTTAGCTACCTGGGGCAGCAAGACAGAGCAATGTTGGGTTCTTTCTGTGAGTTTCTTCCCGCTAATGGTGGCAAAACTAAAGGGGGGTAAAAGAGGGAAAAAGATGAAGAGAAAAGGAAGGCTAGAGAAAGAAAGGGAGAAAAAAGGCGACACGAGGAATGCCTTGCTTGTGCTTTTCTCCAGTTATAATGAGCTCATGTTTGTTTGGTGGGATTAGGCAGGATATCTCGCCTAATCCAGGCCTAATCCTACGTTTGGTTCATGGGATTAAAGCCCACAGGAATCCCATCGGCCCGGTATAAAAACAGTTTAATCTCTCCTACATGGGATAAATTAATCCCAGAGAATAGGTGGGATTATTCCTATCCCATTGTCTTAAATTTCTATTTTACCCCCACTTTAATAATTTTCGGACTGTTTTAACCTTCCCTGTAACACAAATTACAACTAGACCTATAATCAGTTTTCCCATTAATCATCTCACGTCGCGAACAGAAATCAAAAACTGCCCTAGCCCGAAGAAGAGAAACCGCACTCCAGCTTTCATCTCCATCGGCAACGATAGATAAGGAGTAATTATCTTCTGTTGTCCGCTATTAAATTTGTCCGCTATCAAATTTGTCCACCGATTCCGAAGTCTGACATCTGCGAAAGGTAACTATCTGCATTAATCTTAAAATTTTGATATCAATGGTGTGAAAGTGTTTTGATTCCGAAGTGATGTGCCTGTGAATGTGCTCTTCCCATGAATGGTTTCAATGTGCTTTTGTTGCGAAGTCTGAATGTGTTTTGATGTCTGTGAATTAAACTTCAATCCTGATTTTATTACCTCTTATTTGCATAATTGTTTTTCATTAGATTTATTTTTATCAAAAAAGATTAATAATTTTCTGTGTATTAATTTGAAAGTTTTTATTGTTGTCAAATGCCATTACAAAAAAACCCTTTCCTATTTTCCTAAAAAAAATTAAAAAAAAAAATCGAAATTTCGCTCATGAAAAAAAAAGATATATATAGCTACTGATTTAATGCAATTTTTCTGTTCTGCTGCTATAGAGATTTAAATCACATTTTTTAGGTGTATTTTTATATTATGCCTTGTTTTTTAGTGTCTGTTTCCCTTTTTGAACCTTTGCTTGCAGTTATTTACATGTCCAACTAAGTATTCTTTATCTGGAATTTGAATGTTAAATTTCCACTGATTATATGTGAAAATTTTGATTTCAGAGGTCAACTCCTTCTATACATACACTGCACTTATCTACAAATTCCGTCCCACAGTCTGTTTAGTATGGCTATCCATTATGATAAAACAATAACGTTGTATTGATGTTTGCGGCAGATACTAATGGACATGGAGACGGAAGAATTTGAAATTGTTATGATTCTCGAATTAATTCTAAGCTTAATAAGAATCATTTTGGTCTTCTGTTATGTGTATAAAAAATATGTGCATGACCGTAGACGTCGTCGTACCATGGGTCGTAGGAGTCATACACCTATGTATCGCATGGCTGACCGCCTTAATAGTCAAATTCGTCATTTGACTCACCTTATAGAAATCAGTGACACAAATTGTATCCAACAACTTCGCATGGATCGAGATGCATGAGATGGATATGGAGGCCGACTCGGGCATCGATTCGGAGGAGTAGGGTCTCAAAATGAATTTCAGTGTTGGTCTTTTAACTTTTTTTGTTACGTATTCTTGTGATATCCCAACTTACATTATGTCTCAAAATACGGCAAAAAACAACTTGAATTTGAGTGGACGAAAGCTTACACCATGCGCAAACATGACTAAGACATATAACCGATTATTATCATACATACATGCCAAGCATAACAATCTCTTCATTATCTATCAATATATCTATCTCCAAAATTAAATAAATAAAATAAAAAGCTTTATTCACCAGAAAATCAATAAAATCTCGGTATACCATTGAAAGACTCAACACAATCTGTGTTCGTTCACAGGTTGGAACAAACAAAATAGTCGTCCTTCTCTATCGGCTCAGAGAGAGAATTCCTAAAAAAATTGAATTACAAAAATTTTACATCCATTTGCAACACATGACGGGTCGAAGCGGAAGCAATAGGAGGGGTGAACGGGTTTTTCACCTCCTCGCCAATCGGTTCGTAAGAAGCCTGACAGTTACCGAGGCCTGCTACACGGCTCCTCGTCGGACATGCGATGGAGACACAAAAACGCAACCAGCTGTTGGCGTTGCTACGACCCGCTTGCAGATAAAACAAATAATAAGGATTTATGCCTTGTATCACACATCTTACACTCTGGTTTAAACACCAACTTGATGCCTCGGTGAACACACAGAAAAAAATTGCAAAGTGTTGGTGTTATAATTCACATCAGAGATATTTCATATTATTAAGAAAAAAATATTTATTCATAGTAACAAAGATGAATTGTGTAAAAAAATTGGAAAAATTCAACTGTTAACATTATAATAGCCTATGAAAGTGAAGCTACTTATCCTGAATTCAATATAGCTACCAGAACAAGGTACTGGACATATCTATGGCATTTTTTGCGACAGTTAAATAGGAATAGATATCAGTGATTGGAGATGATAAATAGGAATAGATATCCCTGTTTGGAGTTGATAAAAAATGTCAAATGACCCTTGGCAACATCTTATTTACACCAAATAAGGTTAAGTTGGAATATCATAAATACTGAGCAAAACAGAACAACACTTGAGACACAGTACATAGCTCACAACTCACTTTAACATTAGTATTGAATATTAACTCACTTTAACATTAGTATTGAATATTTGAAAGTCACTGGGTGCAGATATCATGGATTAGCCAGTATGACAGTCAACCAATTAAGCAAGAACCTAACACTACTAATAGCAAAATAAATCATATTAAGCAAAACAACTACAAAAAGTATTTGTCGGTTTGCACTTTATATTACAAAATCGAGCTCCAAAACTTTTACCTGGCTAACACGTCGTTGCACGTCGCTTTGACTTGCTGAAACACTGTCGACCGCCGTCCTCGTCATTGACGCTGACTTCTACTTGGGCGGCAAAATTAGGGCTTCCAGACGAGCAACTATTCGACGCTTTGGTGGTTGTTCGAATGTGGCGAAAACCAAGGTCAGTTGGTCGAACTTTCTTTCAATTGCGCAAGATAACCGGTTGCCTTGGTCGTCGCCGCACGTGGTGGAAGCCGTGCCTCGGAGTCGACGAAATGAAGAACACAGCTGCGAATGAGAGTTTATGAGGAGATTGGGGAAAAATCCAATTTTGTTAAGCTGCGAATGAGAGTTTATGAGGAGATTGGGGAAAAATCCAATTTTGTTAACCGATTTATTCATATGGGTAATAAAGTAATTTACTCATTATATTTCATATAGACACTTTTTTTTCTTTTTTAAACATAAAGTTATCCTAAGTCTTATCCTATATAACAAACATAGAATAATATTAGTTCAAACAGTACAATCCTGTACTATGGCATTATTATAGTCCAATCCCATCCCAACAAGCAAACACGCACTGAGTAGTCGGGATTTTGAGCCGCGCTGATTACTGAAGAGTGACTGCAAAATTGACAAATTGATTTTCTTAACGTGGTGGGCCTGAATTGGCCATTTTTTTTTTTTCCATTTATTATTATTTTCCGCTTTGATTTTGCTACGGGGACAAGTACAAATGTGGATAATACTTATACTAATATGCCGTTGGATTACGTTGACGGTTGATTATTTTTGTTTGCTACAAACCTACAACCTTTGCCCTCGTGCCTGCTATTATTTTTGTTTGTCTATTTTCAAAGTTACAAAAATAGTTAATGGGTAAATTGTGATTTTAGTATCTAGAGTAATTTCAAATCACCACCTTTGACACTAGCCCTGACATGGCCAAAACACGGGCCGCCGGGCTCGTAAACAGGGCCCAAAACCTGCCCGGACTTAGGCTTGTGCCGGGTCGATGGCCCGACAGGCCAAGCTGGGCCGAGTTTGGGACTGTCCAAAAAAGTAAGTAAAATTTTTTTAAAAAAAACCACACACACAAAATATATGGTGGCTTTTTGGGCCGGACCGTACCCAGCACGGCTCGCTGGGCCGAGTCGAAATAACATGGTCCTGGGCCTGGACCCGTTGTCAACGGGCTTGACTGGGCCTGGTCCTTGCCGGGTTCAGGCAGGTCGGGCGGCCTCTAGCCCTACTAGATATCTCACAATAGGTATCCAAATTTCACCATTAGATTGATCATAACTTAAATTCCAAACCTACATTTTATGTCCAAGGCAAAAAAGTATGTTGACTGCCTCGTACACTTTGCACGTAAAATATCTATTATACCTGTATCTTGATTTAAACTATAAATTATTTGTTTCATTCAAAAAATTATATTGTATTTAATTTCTAGCTCATGTATATAATAACAATAATAAAAAATTGGATAATTAAATTAAAATAGCGTATTAAAGTTGAATATTCGACAATCTCGCCGCCACCCGCCACTACCGACCACCACCATTAGTTGTTGTTCGTTGTTCGTCTAACATTACTGAATTTTAACAAATCATATATCACTTTGAAGCTCTCAACACGATCTATCCCAACTCGATCTATCCAACGACATATTTAATTCATCATATGATATATCAAATTTGTTAAATCATTATTAGAGTATCGAAAAAATATTTTGGAATGTCACCAGTGATCCAATCGTTGGATTTTTGTGGAACTTATATGCACAGAAAGCTCTTTTAATAAGGTATTCAATGGTATTTCCCGATCATCGATCGAACTTTTAAATAACCATAAAAATGCAAGTGAAGTTTCCAAATTTTTAGCGGTGTGAGGTTGGGACTTATACTTCAACCGATGGTTTTCGACGACTCAGTTGTTCAAATTTGATGAGTTAACTCTCATTTTGATCATCTTTTCACGGGCAACAACAATGCCTTAATCAATTTAATTTTTGAACACATATGAGCCTTCCACTTGAAATTATATTTTCTGCAATTTTTTTTTTTCATATTTTTTTCTTAAGTTTATGTCATTTTTCTCGTGGGTGCAAGAACTGATTAAGTGACAATTTTGGGTGTCAAAACGAAAATAAGATAAAGTTGGAGTACCATGTAAAAAAGATCCTATTAGTTTTAAGTGTGGGTAGTTTAGTAGTTTAATTAATGAGTGTGTTTTTAAAAATATATATAAACGTGTCATAATTTCAATTGGTGCATCTTGTCAGTATGTACGAGGGATACCTGACGGTAGAGTGAGTACACATCTTAGTTTTATAACATAACTTTCAAAATACTAATACTTTTTTTATCGTGCATATGCATGGACGAGGTTATTTTGATTATATTAAGTATTAAATAATGTTTAAATTCAATTATATAAAAAGTTCAAATAAATTATTATCAATTATGAAAATTTTCGTTGTATACACATTAAATATGTCTACTGATCATCTCTTTCTAATAATATGCTTATTATTTTTTATTAATCGTTTTTAAAATTATACATATAACTGCTTATATAGATAATAATTAATTACAAAATAATCACGAACTTTTCATCTATATATATATAATAAGAATTACCATTTACTAAAAATAATAGCAAAAAATTTAGGAAACATTTAATGCATACCATTTTTGGAAACTTTTTAAGTATATGCATTAATTTCTTCCAGATCAAATAAGATAAGATCAAATAATTACTTAAATAAATTTACTAATATTTGCAATATTTTTATGATAGGATCATACTTAAATAAATTTACTAATATCTGCAATATTTTCATTGATATTTATTATAATAAATTACAAGATTGATTTTTCGTGATTCATGTTGATAATAATTTGGTAAAGATAAATATTATTTTATTAATATTTGTAATACTTTCATTTATATTCATTATAATAAATTACAAGATTGATTTCCATGATCCATGTTGATAATATTTTGGTCAAGATAAATATTACACCATATTTTAAGTTCTAACCATAATATTAATTTTTTTTTCACAAATATTTACTTTTTATCCAAAACTATTTATGGTAAATCGTAACAGGTTAGGTAGAATTTTTTTTCAAGTAATCAGACAAAATCAAATTGGTGAATTAATCTTTGCCAATATATTTTTTTCTTAAGCTTCTTGTTAAATATAAAAAATAAATTGTTCTTCAAATTAATATAATTTACCATTTAAGAGATAATGACCAGATAATATATTAATTATCTTACAAACTAATCTTAACATACTCATATTTAATGTTTTGACTAAAAAGTCAATGTTGATTAAAAGAGGTACAAAATAGATTGTAACCTTATTGTTTATTACACTTAACGCTGCTTAATAGATGTGGAAAATAGATGATAACCTTATTACTTTATATGCTTAAAATGACAAAGCCTGTGAAAATAACTCATTTAGTATTTATGTCCCGTGCATCGCACGGGGTACGTACTAGTTTTGTTATAAAAGAAAAAGAACTCCATTTTAAAAAGCAAATAAAGACATAAATTTTTTACCTTATTGCAACTCGAACCCAAAAGATGTTCCCAATATTTTTATTTTTTTTGTCCAACATCTCTGACAACTTCAAACGATATTACAAAAATATTTTAGCGTACGTTGATCGGAAATCATCATAAGAATGCTAATGATGGAACACAAACACAATGTATATAACAATTAATGAAATGAAAAGACAAATGGATAAAAAAACTAAGGCAAAATTGCATGTAATATAATATTACAACCTTTCGTGAATTTGTATTTTAATCACAATTTTTTGACTTTAGCAAATTAGATCATCACCTTCGTTTCTTTGCGAAATGGTACATGATCATAAAAAAACCGACCACAAGAATCTAACGCGTTCGAATAAACGTTGACGTGCAAAACTCATCCCAAATTTTTTTCCCTGTCTTCTATAATATTGCACATTATATCACAATCTTACGTGAATTTACAAACCAATCATGACTTTTGAATTTTTGGCAAATTATATAATCACCTCATTTTCTTTACAAAACGATAAATGAAAAATATAATTCATTTATATGACTTAGTTGTTGATTTAGAACATTCATTTTCTCTTAACGTAATATTTTGTAGGGACTATCATAGAAAGCTTGTCCATAACTCCCTCATCATTGTGAAATTAATTCTATTTTCTGTTACCACAAAATTTATACTAGAGTTTCCGCCCATATTTATGTGAAATTAATTCTATTTTCTGTTACCACAAAATTTATACTAGAGTTTCCGCCCATATTTATGCCCGAAGGCCCCGAACATCTAAAATTATTACAATGTACAAAAAAAATCCAAGGTATATATCTTTATTTAGAATTTATATCATGTCTTCAAGTAATCATACATCCGTTATATTCCATATAATATGAACATCAACTTACTCTCATGTGATTTGAAACAACACCACGAATAACACAAACGTAGTCACTCATTTAATTGCACAAAATAAAAATCTACCTAAGTTGGTTCACTTGATTTTATGAAGGAAAATTTGTCTCTAATACCATGACCTTTTTTGATACTGCAATTTAATCATGACATTTTCACTTTTATAAATTACATCACAAAAGTTTTCCCAGTTGAGGGGATATATGAATTCGTTCACATCTAAATACATCATCCATGAACACACATCTTTAGAATAAATTGCTATGTGTGAGAAACCTGCCTCTTGAGTTTTGGGCCACCACCAAGAGTGGTGGTGATGTCGAAACCTTGTTTGAACGGGTCATAAATGGATTTGGGCAGCTCAACATCGTTCACATTGTCGATTTTGGAAAACAATCTCCATGGTCACTTCGACAGAGTCACCAATAATAACTATCTCGCGTTTGCAGCGGAACACCTCCTACATGGAGGACGTCACGGTGGTTCTCATTTTGCTATTCCCAAACATGCAGTGGAATTTGCGATTTCTCTCCTGCTGTATAAATTGTCCAAAATCAATTCCAGGGTTTTTTTCTCAAAGCATAAATCGTCCAAAATTAATTCTAGGATTCTTCCTCAACAAATCAATCCTATTTATTCACAAATTGAAGACAAAAACAACGTCGTTTTTTGTCTGAGATGGGAAAAAAACTGGATGGAAATGAGATTGTGGCACTATCTGAGCACATGCTCTGGTGTTCGCTGCCCCGCACTAACGAATTGGTCGAGATACACATGAACAGGTGAGGTGGTATTTCTCCGGTCATATCAACCTTTTCAGGGCTGATTTTTAGAACTTGTTCATCGATTTGCAAAACACTAAAAATTGTAAAATAATTTGCAAAAGTGAAAAGGTCGTGATTAAATTGTAATCTCGAAAAAGGTTGTGTTATAAAATTCTAATCAAACAATTCAATGAACCCTGATTAGCTTATTTGAACCTTTCTAGTGATTAAATTGTAATCTCGAAAAAGGTTGTGTTATAAAATTCTAATCAAACAATTCAATGTACCCTGATTAGCTTATTTGAACCTTTCTAACACAACGCTAATGCATTACATTACAATTAAAAATTTATAAATAGTAATAAAAATTAAAAGTATGTTCTAGATCGACAATTAAGTTCTATTGGTGAGTTATATTTTTCATGTATCGTGTTGCAAGGAAACTTAGGTGGTAATACAATTTGCAAAGAAACTGAGGTGGTAATACAATTTGCCAAAATTCAGATGTCGTAACTAATTTAGAAATTCATGTAAGCTTGTAATATTATGTGCAATATTCTAGGTGATGTAGAAAAAAAAATTGGGACAACTCTTACACGTCAGCGTTTTTTCAAACACATCAGATTCTGGTGATCAATATTTTTTATTTTCATGTACCATTTCGCAAAGAAGCAGAAGCAGAGGTACTGATATAATTTGTCAAAGTCGAAAAGTCATGATTAAAATACAAATTTGCAAGAAGTCGTGATATTAATGCAATTTTTCCAAAATGAGTTTTTTTAACAAGATTTAATTTTGAAAAAGGTGGTATGATTAGTTGTTAGTGAGATTTTAATTTTATATTAAAATAATATTTGATATAAAAGTATGAGAGATATATATGAAGTGATGATTAGTTAAAATGATGTGAGTGAATGAATAATGAATTAAAGTTGATGTGATGTGTAAAAATGATTGGTTGAAATTATTTAATTATATTGATAATATTGAACATAGTGAGGTTGAGTTAAAATTGTATTAGATTTTGAATATAAATTGAGCGTGGATGGAGTTTATTCATATGCAAACACACCCTAAAATTGTTAACTTATAAATCTAATCATATGTGTGGGATTTTTGTTTTTAAGAAATTATTATAATATAGGACTTCAACTTGTACGAGTGCAACTTGTCATTTCAAATATAAATAATAATGTAATTTTTAAAAATTATTTAAAATCTAAAAAACACTGTTCTTTTTTTTTTCCTTCTAAATTGCGAACAAACTATTTTAATTAATACTTATGTAAACATGAGTATTTTACTGCTACTAATTTATTATATTTGTCATGTGCATTGCATGAGCTATGCAATATTCCTATTAATTTTTTTCGTGTAAGGCAGGCATAACTATTATGCTACTCTACTCTTGTTTTCTTTTAATAAAAGTGCGTATTTATACTATTTAAAAATATGCATATATGTTGAAAAAAATATGATTACACAACTATTAAACCTATCAAACTGCAACCACACGTTAAAAATTAAGTGAATATTTATAATTGTTCAGTACAATCACTAAACAACGGATAATTGAAGCTAAATCATATTATAGAGAAATAAAAAGGGTAAAATACACAAGACCCCCTTGTATTATACGAAATCTGCGCGTTTCCCCCCTGTATTTTAAAAATTGCGTCAGACCCCTTCTATTTAAGGTTTTGTATGCGCGAAACACCCAAAATTTAGACGATTTTGGGTGTTTCGCGCATACAAAACCTTAATAGAAGGGGGTCTGACGCAATTTTTGAAATACAGGGCGGAAACGCGCAGATTTTGTATAATACAGGGGGGTTTGGTGCATTGAACCCGAAATAAAAATAACATACACATTTTGACATAACACTTATGACGATTATATTACTATTTACTTTAACAATTATTAAATATACAGAACAATTATTAAATATAAATATAATTTTTTTCCTTCTCTGCGGCAAACAATTATTTTGACAAAATAACTTTATTCTTGAAGCATTGTGAAAATCTGGAGCCCATGACACAAATCAAATTGTGATAATTTGGGGTGAACAATAACATTATAGAGAAATCACCATAATAATGATAAATGATTTCAACAAATTGAAAAGCAAAAAGGGACACTTATTATCCCATTGGGATCGGACACTTGGTATTACTCCATTGGGGTCTTTTTAGTTGTTGTTTGTTGTTTTAGTTGGTTAGTTTTAGTTGCGAGTTTTTCTAGCGTTGCTAGCCGGGACTCTAGGCGGTCTTCTGACCTGTCCTCCCACTTTTTCAGTTGTTGACTGCTGTTTATTCAGTCGTTGGCTGCTGTGTATTCGCACATTTGTGCATTTTGATTTATAATATAATCTATCGTTTCGGGAAAAAAAAAAAAAAAAAAGGGACAAATGTGGAAATTGATAGAATCGTGAATAGCGTGAGGCGCGTCCAAAAGTCGTTGGGCTTAATTATATATAGCGCCCATTAAGCAAATTATCAACTCTTCTAAATTTTTTGTACTTTTGAAAGACGTAAAACTCAGAGTTAAATGCTGCTCACTCAGATTCAGATGTCATGCCTCAACGAGCCATTCTGAGATTCACTCAGATCTTCTGGTAAATTGTTGTATTTCGTCTATAATTTTCAGCTGAATGTCGATGCCCATATGCCTTTTGCGTTTGATTATTTTCATGTTTCTGTGTTCATGTTTTTTGGAGAGAAATTTTTGAACGATGTTCTGTTTGATGACTTTGTTGAATCTTTGGAATTTGGGTGGTCGTAAAGTGTTGGATTTTTTATTGGTTACTTGGAATTAAATCGGCAATGGAGGTGAAGCTAGTGTTTGAACTGAATTTCAGGTGTTGATTTCTTGAGAGGGAATCGTGTGATTTTCCCAATCACTAATGTGCGCTTGTTTGTGTTATCTGATTGTTGATTTTGTGTTATGTTCTTTCAATGAACTGAATTGGGATTCTATCTTGTTCTTGTTTGTTTCCCCACATCTCTTAAATGTCAGCGAGAGGGATACATAAGTTGAGAGGTTGGCCTTCTTTTATTGATATGGAAGGGTTTATGGTTGTCACCTTATGGTTTCGCTTGTGTTGTTGTTTTCTCTTAGTTGGTTGGCCACAATGTGTTTGATTTCACGTCGGTTGTTTGGTTTCTTGTAATGGGATTGAGAAGTGTTTGCCAGATTGAATGAAATTTATGGGGTGGATTTAGTTATTGGCATACCTTTTCTTATCCCTTCATCTTTTAGTTCACCAAGAAATGAATTAAAAGAGACCATTCTTGTAGTTTCTTATCTTTTCAGGTTTGGAGTATGGAGAGGTTTGAATTTTTATTCCGCATAAAAACAGTATGTCATGGGATTTAGACACTGATTCTTGTGTAGCTGATTTGCGTGGATTGTTTGCTTATCACTAACATATTTTCTGTTGTCGTAACCAGATATCGTTTTTTATTAAAAATGAGGTGATTTCGAAAGGTTGACACGTCAGTGATGAAAATTGACTTGGCTTTCTCTTTTATTCGGTGCATTTATTTGCTTCCTTTGATGGCTTTCTCTTTTACTCGATGCATTGCATCTGCAAGCTTTGCTTTTCCAAGGATAAAATCGACATTAAGTACTGAGATCTTCGAACTATCTGCGTGGAAAGTTCGCTATTTTTTCGTATTTTGTTCTGCTTTTTCCCAACAAGATTCTTTGCTGAGCCCACCCTTCCCCCTCTAACACAGCGTTAAAAAGTTGCATAAAAATTTTATTTGTTAGAATTTATTACTAGCTTTTCTATGGTAGGAAATCCTTCCACATTTCCGTAATTATTTGGGGTCAGGTTTAGGTAATCCTTTCAGTTTTTTGTCATTAATATTTGATGTTCTTTCAGCTATAGTTTTCCAATTATATGTACTTATTATTCAATAAATGCATAATAGGAGAAGAATGTCAGGAACAACTGAAATGAAAGTAATAATTACAATATTTGTCTCTTCTATTTTCAGTTGGCAGATTCTGTGCTTTACATCGGATTGTGGGAGAAGCTGTTTATGAATCTGTTTTCGGTAACAAAGTTTGTTTTGTTCATGATATCTATGTTGGAAGCTATCAAACATGATATTGTATTTCGAGTTTGAGAAAATATGGAGGAATCAAAGGATGAAACAAAGCCGGTGGAAGCACAAGGTCATAATACCCAATGGTGGCCGACAGGTCTTATTGAGAAACTGCGGTCAATTTCTCTGGTTCCTTCAGAAGAAACCTCAAGTTCTAAAGGATCAAGAGTACAGCTTGACACTGAGAGCACATTTCAAGTGGCATCACAGACATTGTGGGACACTGGAAAGCTAGCCGAACCTATTCCTGATGGTTTCTATTTTGTCAGTCCTGTAAGTGTGTCTATAAATATTTCTATATGCTATAATTGCTTGATATTTCAGATTTTATAAATGGAAGCTTTAATGTGAGCATTTCATGCCATATATGCAATGCCTAAAACAACAACAACAACAACAACAACAACAACATAGCCTTTTAGTCCCATATATGCAATGCCTAAAACCTTTTAAAAATATGTTCTCTTAGCTTTCATGAAATGAGTTGGTTTTTAGCAAGCAAAGTTAACGCCCTAACTCCCAAATCTTCTGGTGGCTAATTATGTTTCCATGTAATGCTTCATGCTCTGTAGGAAAGAAGATTTAAGGAGCTTTTTGATACTATTCCGACATTAGATGAGCTCCAGGCAATGGATGCTGAGGGGATCAGACCACATGTGATTCTTGTAGATGCAGGTAAAGATAAGAAGCTTTCCATGTTGAAGCAGCTTGCTATCACTTTGGTGAGAGGACTGAACTCGAATCCTGCTTCTATGATCAAGAAAATAGCTGGATTGGTGTGTACTCATTATACTCCCTTCTTCTGTATTATATCACGTTCTCCACATAATTCCTTTATCATTTGAAACTCATCACAAGTTTTCTCTTGAGGAATGCACCTATTGCCATTGGCCTGATTGCTAGTGGAATTATCTAGTGTTGAGCTCTTTGCTCCTTCTGGAAGCATTTATGCCTTAATATGACATAGGCTTTAATTAATTACTAGCCTGAACATAGGTTTGTGATTTCTTCAAAAGACCAAAATCGGAACCCGACTATGTGAAAGGTGCACTCGAAGAAGTCTCTCATGCACTCGATAATCAAGGTATCCATTTGCTGGGACACATAAAGCGCGGCTCCTGCCATTCCAGGGCTATCTTATTCAAAGTTCTCGCTGATACTGTCGGCCTGGAAAGTATGCTTGTGGTGGTAAGGTGCCATATTCATTACAGTGATTGATTAGGACATTTGTTTTTGTTTTTATCATACTATTAATTGTCAACTGCTTGTCTTTCTAGCTGTTATTTTACCACTGTTACTGTTACTTCAAAATATGTAACCATCTGGGAAATTTATTTTTGTTGCAGGGTTTACCTAGAGATGGAATAATGGAGCGAACAGATACATATAAGCACATATCTGTTGTAGTTGTTTTAAATTCTGTAGAATTTTTGGTTGATCTTGGGCGTAATCCTGGCAAGCTGCTGTCATGCTCGGTAAAGGCTGTTTTTCTCTCTCATCCCTCTGCGGGAGAGAGTGACTCTGCTGAAAATGACTCGTATGATTCTCCCATCGAATCAAACAGCCCTATGTGCGTCTTTCCAGATCAAACCCAAGTTGAGGGGTAAGAAGCTGCATCTTAGGCTTAGCATTTAGTTATTATTGGTAGAACTTTATTCCAAATCAATAATCAAATATTGACCCGACTACAGTCAACACGGTTTCTTGCTTTAAAATGAAATATGTTTGGATGACTGTTTTTGTAAGAATCCTTGTTATTTTCATATGCATTTCATTTTTAGTGGAGCAAAGACGTCCGGCATGTATAGATTTTTACTGTTTTGCCAGTTCTATTAAAAATGATGGTTTTATTAGATTAAATTAATTTCTAGGTTATGTCTGCTGAGAAAAACGTTACATTTTCAGGTTATCGCATAGTGAACCAAATGTGGCAAATTCATTTTGGCAGCATAGCCTGAAGAAAGACGTAGCTGAACAGAAGACAGCAGGTTCAAGGTTTTGTAACTTCTGTTGACTGGACAGACTTTTATGTTCTTCTTTCTGAGCGCTTATAATGGAAGTTAGGGTTTCAAATTTTCATAAAGCAAGAATATTTGATCTCATTATATTGTTACGTACTAACTCATTTTGGTATATACACAAACTAGAGTCTGAGTAATTTAATTTACTCGTAATCATTAAAATTTCACTTGCTTTTTGCTTCTGATAAACTTATATCGTTTGCTTTCTTTTTATCTTTCCTTTATGTTTTTAAGGCACTCTGAGTTTCCTCATAAATTTTGAGTTTAAATGTTTATAATTTTCTTCCTAACATTAAATGTTTTTAAGGCACTCTGAGTTTAAATGTTCATTAGCTTCATCTTTATCCTTATATAACTTTCTTCCTAACATTTTTCTCTGTGATTGAGCTTATATCTTGAAGTATTCTGCAAGATTATCCATAAACTTTCCTTTTTGGTTTTCATTTTCATCCTTTCCAGTCCAGAACACCCTTTCTTCCGTGGGCATGGGAGATCTTTGCTTGGAGGTCGTAGGCATTCATTTCGAGAGTACAGCAATGATATTAATGCATCAAGGTTTCAGCTTCCTATTACTAGTCTTCAGCATTTTCTATATGCCATGTTAATTTAAGCCACAAAATCGCTTTGCTGTATGTTAGTATTAATGACATCTTTTATGTGCTCCATGACCATTTAATATAATTTTAAAGATCATCAATAAAGAGAGGAATTTTATTAGGGTTGTCTATTTATTTATGTTGGGTGTTGATGTACAGTATTCATAATGATTCTATTTGTTGATCCACTTAAAATTACTAGAATTAGTTAAATTGATGAAACATTGTTAGCATCAGAAATGAGTGTTATTGACGTACGCACAAGAAAACATGAGTTTTTGCATTCATGAAAAAGATAATATTTTGTTTGGTTCTTTGTAGTTGTCGAAGAAAAAAGAGATTGGAGAGTAAAAATAAACAGGACAATACATCTTTCAGTTAGAATCCACATTTACCTCTCTCGTCAAATTTCACCATAACTAAACAAGAAAATCAATTTTTTTTTTTCTTATAGCTCCGAATGCCTTAGCACAATAAAAAAAAAACTATAATGCACTGGTACCGGATGCCGAGATTGCTTTTAATTGACCATCCCCTTTTTATTTCCTCAGCTGTTAGTTATATCTTTTGATCTCCTTTCTTTTAGGATGTTTTTTTTTCATGTTATAATTATCTTTTATATGAAGGTCCGCTGGTCAATCTCCAGTAGAAGCTCGTAGGAGAAGACGGCGCTGTATTAGCATGATTCCTGAGATTGGGGATGATACCGTAAGGTGGTTCAATCTTTCTTGTTTGCAATCTACGTTCGCAATGTTCATAGGAGGAACTTTTTATTCATTTCATGCGTTCATATAATATGGCAAGGAATTAGTTTATTTGGTCCTTTTCAAATTATCGAAATGTTTGTTTGCTCTATTGTGCATGGATGACAAATCATTTTTTTCCCCCCATTTTATGCAATATTATCTGCAGCTTATTTCATGACCAGAAAGTTTAGTCGTCGTAAGTGTGGGACCAGTCCTATTAGAATTCACATGAATCATATGACAAAGCAAGGTCTCTTAGGTCTGCCAGTTTTTTCCAGTAAACCTAATTTAGTGTGGGCAAAGGAAATATTGTCACCGAGTATTTTGGTAGTTGCAGCCTTCAGTTTTGCTCATGCATATATCTGTGGCAGATATTTAAACTTGGTTTTGAAAAATTTAATTCAGGGCTGTTCGGAGGATGAGTGAAACTCTCAAGAAAAATCGTCTCCCCGAAGAACAAGTAAATTTCACACTTAGTTCGAGTAGTGGGAAGGATGACAATTCAGATGTCCGAGAAAGCGTATGCTTCAGTCAATTATTGGTCATGGTTTAATGAGTTAAATCTGTTTACATCCCCGAATGAAATTTTGCTTTTATTTCCATATTTAGTTGATCCTTTTCCTTCCGCTTCAAAATCTGCACCGAAGAGTTTCTTATATGAGACAACAGCTTTCCATTTTCTTCTCTGTGCAACAGTGTTACCATGACGGGTCTATTTATTTTACTCTTGGAAATTAAATACCTGCCAATATATAGGTGATAAGACCGTGGTTTGAACAATCCTAAGACTATCTCTTTTATTGTCAATTAGATTATCTTCACTTTGATTTTCTGTTGTTGTTATTATTATTATTATTATTATTATTATTATTATTATTATTATTATTATTATTATTTATGCATGAATTAAACCGCGTGTCTTGTATCCTTGTCCTGGATCTCCCTAAAAATTGATCAAGTTTATTGGATTAAATTCTCTTTTGCAGGTGGCGGGGAAAAGTCCAGGTGGCAGTGATGGAATCGATGATCAGAAACCTTTGTCGTATAATTTTCCGTCCAAACAAATAAATCCACACAAGGCAATCTCATTGCCTTCATCCCCTCAACATTGTTCCCATCAAGCTTCTCTTGGGAATGACACTTCAGGAATTTTTGTGCGTCCTGATATGATGGAAACATTCAATAAAGTCCTTGAATCATCAAAGTTTGTGAACAAGCCATTGTTACCCTTCCCAGAATGGAACATTGATTTTTCCGAGATAACCATCGGAACTCGCGTGGGAATCGGTAAGTTATGCTGGGGTTTTCTGTCAACTGTGAAGCATGGTTTGTTGTGATTTTTTGTTTTAATTTTGAGATAACCCATGGTTGATTTGGTATAAAATCCATGTTGTCTGTTAAGGGTAATGGATATGTTGTGGCATACAGTTCTTGAATGGTTAAATAGCAATTATGACAACTGTATCTGTAGATGGGGAAATCCTATTTGTTCAAAATTAATAAACTCGAAACTTCCACGAGAGCTCCTAAGTTCTTTGGTAATTTGATTAGGAAATTTGAAATACTCCTGAGGCCAATATTTGCTCAATGCAGTATCCATAGTACTTTTGAGTGATTGGCCGAACTTGTGTCAATTTCGTTTAAAATTTCTACTTTCCACAACGAGAGATCCTAACTGAAATTTGATTTCACCATGTGATATATTATGTACCTGCATCCTTGTTAAATGCCATCATTTCTTATTCTTTTAGGATTCTTTGGGGAAGTTTTCCGTGGCACTTGGAATGGATTAGAGGTTGCTATTAAATTGTTCTTGGAACAGGATCTCACTGTCGAGAATATTGAAGATTTTTGCAATGAAATATCAATCTTGAGGTAATATTAGTTTGAATCCTCTGGCGTTTCGAGAAATTCGGCATTCATTTCTATTGAGAAGATATTAACTTCTTTATTTACTAAAATAATTTTTTTTTTCCTTCCTGCAGCCGCACTCGTCACCCAAATGGTACTGACTACTACTTTCTATTATTTCATTTTTTTTTATTATACAATTTTATTGTCTCTCTCATCACATGCTCTCTTTTCAAGCAGTTATATTATTCCTTGGAGCTTGTACAACTCCCCCTCGCCTCTCGTTAGTTACTGAATATATGGAGATGGGATCACTATATTTCTTGATCCACGGAAGTGGGTTGAAAAAGAAGTTGAGCTGGCAAAGGAGGCTCAAAATGCTTTGTGATATATGCAGGTGCATTATTGAATTTCAAGATTCTGATAATTCTTTTCTGTTGTTTATTAGAAATTAAAGAAATCAGAAACGATAAGGAAAGTGTAGGATGGATGATCGATCTGACACGTGCTTTCTTATGCATACTTTCTGTTTAGGGTTTTAAGTAACGTTTCATGTTTGAATTCAATTATAGGATCTGTTATTTGTAAGCAGTAACTGAAATTTTCTGGAGCTTAATCTAGTAGATGCAAGACTGATTGCTTATGCAGACCCACATTAAAAATATGAGTTTTTAATGCTTAGATAACTTGGAGATTTTGTGTTTCTTCATATATTCATGAATAATCAGTGGATGGGTGCCAGCATTTTGCCAAACTGAATATATGATTTCTAATTTTTTTTGAAGTTTGTGATAAAGGAAGGCTCTTACTGCATTTCTGTAGGACAAAGTCATCTCCTCCCATAAGCTACTTACGTTATTAGCCTTAACTGCTCTAAATTTCATTGTTTGGGATAATAAAACTGTAGGGGACTAATGAGCATCCATAGGATGAAAATCGTGCACCGTGATCTGAAGAGCGCGAATTGCCTGGTGAACAAGCACTGGACAGTCAAGATATGCGATTTCGGGCTTTCGCGGGTACTTACTACCCGGCCCATGAAAGACACTTCTTCAGCAGGAACACCTGAATGGATGGCACCTGAACTCATCAGAAACGAGCCCTTCACTGAGAAGTGTGATATTTTCAGCCTTGGCGTTATCATGTGGGAGCTTTGCACGCTCAGCAGGCCATGGGAGGGCGTACCATCAGTTCAGGTACAAAAAGAAAACATAAAATTTAATCAAATAAAACCATAAGAATCTAAAATGTGTATTTTTTTTTTGGGTTCCTGTGTGTGTGTGTGTGTGATAACTGATAAGCAGGTTGTTTATAACGTCGGCAATGATGGGCAGAAGCTGGAAATTCCGGAAGGTCCTTTGGGCAAGCTGATAGCAGGCATGTCTTCTAGAATAGTAGTTATTTGTTCGATGGGTTGATTTTATTTTATTAATTTTTCATTTTTTTCAATTTTATTTTTTTCCTGTGGATAGATTGCTGGGCTGAACCAGATGAACGGCCGAGCTGTCAGGAGGTTCTTTCTCGTCTGCAAGAGTGTGAATATTTGTTGTGCTAATGATAGTGAGTGGTTCTCTCTGTAACGGAAAATGATGAGTCAGTTATCGGAATGTATATCTTGGCAGGTTTTTGTGTGGTTCTTGCTAATGGGAACAACAGTTTTCAAATAGAGGAATAGTTGTCACAAGGACAGAAAAGAAGAACAAAAAAAGGAACAAGGAAATTCTACATAGCTAAACGAATATGTTGTACTTATAAATAAAATGTAACATTTGAAATCGATCCCATGTTGAGTGGGTGAAGAAAAGAACTCCAGCCTTTGGTGATATAGTTTTCCCATAAGATGTTTGATGTTTTTCAGTTTCATACTTTCTCCAGTTAACTGCATTAATGGTGCTGGTAATAATTAGTAAATTTTGAAAGATAGCTTTAGTTTTTGTCTTGTTAGTTAAGAGTAGTCGCTGGAATAGTATTCCATACATTTGTGGGTTTATATAATTCATTATGCAAACTAGAACATAAAACAAACAAATTATTTGCACTTAGGCTATACGTCTTTTATTAGTCTGTTTAATGGTTATATAATTATATATTTTTTTTTTAAGTAAATATAAATAATTTTTAAACTTATAATTGTAAATAAAAGTTAATGATTTGAGTGTGTAAGTATGATATTTTTCTTTTATTCCTTAAAACGAAGTATGACTATCTAATTCCTTGGCTCCAAATAAAAAGATCACGTTGATGGCAGCTGCTCAATCAAGATCATCCAAAAGGCAGACATAAAGTAGAATGAATCCTATTTCCAAACAAATATTTATATTTTGAAATCCCGTGTGTTAATATTTGGAGTCGAATAAGTTTATTCATGTCCATTAGATGTATTACATATTAATCCATATCCGTAACTATAATAATATTTGAACAGATATTAAACTAGCTACTAGTCTCTGTCTATAATAGGGTAAGAGGCGTCCATTGCTATACCACATAGCCCTTCCTTTTGAGGCACGTCCCGTTTCAACCTCATGTACCCGCCCTCTCCCCATTTCGTTCCCCACGAGTTTTTCAGGGTCCAATACTTTGTCCCTTGGTCAGTCACACCATAGCCGACCACAGTGACAGCATGACTCAGATTTGTCCCGCAATCTTCCCCGGAGTACAAACCGCCGTGATAGTCTTTGAACGCGGGACTGGAGGCGTCCACCGCGGCTGAGACCGGCCGATCAGCCACAGCCTGCCGCAGGGCTTCCTCGTCGTTTGGTTTGACCGTCGCGTAATCTGTTATCTCAAAGCTCCAATCTGCCCAATTACACGTGGGATTGTGGCGGTTTGCGTACGGGTAATCGTCCTCGGCCGCGATTCCCTCGTTATCAATGACGAATTGGTAGGCCTTGTCCGGCCGGCCCCCGGTTTTGCAGCTATCCGGCTTGTTGTCACAGTCTATCAGTTGTTGCTCCGAAAGGGGGACAAGATTATCCCAAGCGATCTGATTGAGGCCCTCCAACGCGGCCACAGCAGCGAAAGCCCAACAACTTCCTGAATAGTTAAGATCATTTTTTGGTTAACAATGAATAAAAATGTTCAATTAATTTGCACAAATACATACCACAATTAAATTGGTTCTTCACAGGAGTCACTGCACCATGACTTCTCCAGTCCCAACTATCTGGGATATATATATCATTCCTCGGCGCTACATTACGAAACCTTGAATTTTGATTCGACCTTGTTTCCATCACGAAACATGATGAAGGATTAAGCCCGCCATCTGAGAACTGGTTGATGCCAAGTTTGTAGCCGCGGTCCGGGCCTGAGTTGAAAGCTTCGATTTCTAACCACTTCTTTTTGAACGCGGCAAACCGCACCGCCCTCTCCTCGTCATCTTTGTACACTCGGCCATGTTCAACCATCCACTTCTTGAATTCTTGTTCAAGCTCAACGGAGCTGTGAACACTAACTAGGATATTGAGTAGGAAAATATATATTATTATTACTTCCATTGAGGTTGAGAGCGGCATTGTAAAATAGATATATTATTATTATTATTATTATTATTATTATTATTATTATTATTATTATAGCTTATGGTGTGGGTTATGGCTATATATAAATATAGAAGAGAGAGAGTTTCGCATGCATCAGCGAGGTCGCCCATCCTTTCTTCCTTCCCTTTATTTTTTTATTTTTTGATTTATTATTATGTACTTTTAATAAAGGCTGTTTGCCAAAACTTATTTCCATTAGTTTTAACAAACCATTTAAGGACCGAGTATTAAACTACTGCGTTTTGTTATAATTAAAATATTGGAAACTGAGAGGCTCTTACATTGAAATTACTCTTCTTAGTCATGGATATTGATTACATGTTTGCCTATATTTTTTATGAACTTGACACTGAAATTAATTTACAGATATTCATGAGATTAAGTAGTGAAGTAACCTTTATTATCTATTTATTTAATTTAGATGTAGTGTAAATGTGATAACATTTTCCAGTTACATGGCTTATTTGTCTATATCTTATTGTAACCGTTATTATCTATTAAGTTTTTGAAAATATTATTTTTATTTTTATTTTTTGGAAATTCTTAATTTCTATTATTATATGTTATACTCATTTTAAAAAGAATTCAAATAATATAGGACTAAATTATTAAAAAGGTTGATTATAAGACACATTTAACAGTACATATATTTATGAGGCAGTTCGGTTCAGTTCGGTTCGATTCGATTCTCAATACGAATATTTACAAAATCTTTATAGCCATACAATTTTTGTTTTATTTTTTTTAATTCGGTTTGGAAAAACCCAAACGGTCAATATTTATTTTGGGATTTGGAGTGATTTTTAGTTCAATATATGGGCAAAATTTCAAAATTGATCCTATAACTTGGCCACTGTCCAGAAAACCACCCCGATATTGACCACTTTCAATTTAGGTCCTATAATTTGTCGATTTCATCAATTTTGGTCCTTTTTTATCCGTCCTGGATTACAAAGTGACGTGGCATGACGTGTCAGCTTTTCAATGTTACATGGCGTGATTATGATCTACGTGACACGTCAATTTTGGTCCTATAATTTGAGGATTTCATCAACTTTGGTCCTTTTTTCATGCCACGTTACTTTTTAATCCAGGGTGCGGATAAAAAAGGACCACAATTGATGAAATCGACAAATTATAGGACCTAAATTGAAAGTGGTCAATATCGGGGTGGTTTTTTGGACAGTGGCCAAATTATAGGACCAATTTTAAAATTTTCCCTTTTAAACTGTGCGGTAATCCCAAATCTCTCTAATATTAAGTTATTATGCATATAGGTTGACAATAGTTAATATATGCCTATGTTAATGGCTACAATAACAGTCTTTTTTGGAACATTTTTAAGTTTAGTATTCTATGTAAATGGCTACCTTTGTGATTTACTTGAATTATTAAGATCAAGTTTGCCACATGAGTGAGTAATCTTCTCGTGTATGAGAGGTATGCGTAACTAACCCTACGTTAATGGCAATAGTTAATTCATTACAAGGATTTTATGTGACATTTAGGATTCTATGTAATTAAATGGCTATAGTTAGTCACAAGGCTTTTATATTTTTAACTATCTTTGGTATTTACGTAAGATCTATCCAAAAAGTTACTACCTAGTAATTATTATCTTTGTGATTGATCTCGTTAGGGGATACCACTAAATAAGAGAGAATTTCATTTTACATTTAAATCATCTGAAATATTTATACACTAGTATGATACCCGTGTATTATATGAGTTATTTAAAAGAATTGATACTTTTCTAAGAAAAAACTAGTGTGTAGCCCGTGAGATTCACGAGAAACAATATTAAATAGTAATTATAAACAGTGACGAATACAGAACTTTTTACCAGCCAGGGCAATACGAAAAATAAATACTTAGAATTTTTTAAATAATTCACTTCAATTTGAAAAAAAATACAACTTTTTAGTCAATGACGGGAAGGTAACTGCCACGACTAAAAATTAGAAGCTTGTAGATCAATGCATAAGTTATGTGCTTTTTTGACTCCACCATTTTCTTTGCGCCTTAAGTTGAGAAAAATTAATATTCGTTGGCATATCAGTGATGTAGATATTAAGCTTGTCGTCAAGTGCTAACAAATCTCTTTCAGAAAAATCTCTCGGAAAGAATTTAGCAAGGCGGAGTAACTTTTGCTTGTCGAAAGCAGAAAATGAATCATCCGGAGTCAAGCTTGCAACACCAATGAGAAGCTCGGTGTTTACCTCATTAAAGCGATCGTTTGAATCTGAAAGTTGTCTATCAATCACAGAGTAAAAGACATCCACTCGATAATGATGAAAGACCGTTAACTTCTCAGCCCTACGCTGAGATTTTCCCTGAGCAACAAACATAGCATCCATGTCTGGAATATTAATGTCGTGCTTATTACAAAATGAACTTACCTTCTGCAAGAAATTTTCCCATTCACATTCTTCCTCCCTCATTCTTTGGAGTTGTTGTTTACTTGCCCTGACCAAATCCATAGCATTGACAATATCTTGATAATTCCCCTGCAATGCTAGTGATAACTCATTCGTTACACCTAAAATTTGTCTCATTAGAAAAGACAAAATACGAAACCAAAGGATTGCATCTGTACAACCAACAAATTGCATTCTTCTCTTTGATCAGCACTAGCCCCATCCTCGATTATCATTTCAATAACTTTAATAATAGAAGAGAAGATAGAGATAATGCTCAACAAAGTATTATAATGGAACCACAACGTGTGTCACCTGGACGTTTAAGAGCAGTTTCTTGGTTTATTCCTCTTCCACTTGGTAGCTCATCATTGCAGAGAGCTTCTATTAGTTCATTTTGTCTTTGCTCCCGAAAAATATCACGACGTTTACAAGATGCTCTAACAAGGTTCATCACTCTTGTCACCATGAAAAAAAAAAAGAAGCAACCCCAACATAATTTTTAGCTAAAGCAACAAGTGCAAGTTGAAGTTGATGGGCAAAACAATGAACATAAAAGGCTATTTTCTTTCAAAATTAGTGCCTTGAGACCATTAAACTCGCCACGCATATTACTCTTCCCGTCGTAGCCCTGCCCTCAAAGTTTTGATATGATCAACCCATTTCTAGAAAAAAGCTCATCAATTGCAAGTTTTAAAGAATGTGCATCATGTAGTTTTAACGTGTTCAATGCCCACAAATCTTTCAATTACTTCATATTTATTGTCAACAAACCGTAGAACCACTGCCATCTGCTCTTTTATCGTATGATCTCGGACTTCATCAACCAAAATAGAAAATGGAGCATCACCCATTTGACACATAATTGCATTAACAGTTTCAACATCAATTGCATTTATAATGTCTTTTTGTATACTACGCGATTTCAGCTGAAGATTTCTGGGTGCATTTGTGACGGCCTTAACACTATCATTATATTGAGCAAGAAACTCCAAAAGTTCAAGAAAAATTCTTTTATTTTTTGAGAATTCAAATTCATCGTGACCACGAAAAGCAAGACCTTGTCGTAACAAGAAACAAACACAATCAATTGAAACATTCAAGAGAGTATAATAATTCTGTTTCGAGACTTCCACTTGACGACTAATGAGTGACTCAAGATGCTGTTTCTAATTCATTAAAGCCTGTCAATTTAACAGAGCACGATGATGAACACTACCCATAGTGCCGACATGATCTTTGACTCCCGGTTTATTTTTCCAATTATTATAACCTGCAGCTGTGACCGTACCACTACCCCCTTGATCACCATGTTCCGGTTTAAAAAATAACAACAAAGGCAAAATAGAGAATCTTTCTCTATGCTATACTCTAACCACTCAATATGATCATCGAATACACGTTTAGTGTGAAAATATGTAAAAGCCAGTTCTAGTGGAAAATAATCCTTTTCTCTCGCATGAGAGGTTTCTTCTCTTGTTGAAGAGTATCTTTCTCTGCTAGTAAGAGCATTTTTTCTCTTGAAATCTGAGCGAATTAGGGTGAGCAAGAGTATGGGAAAGAAGAAGTGTGTTAGTTCCACAGGGAGAATTGGGGTGGTGGAGATTGGGGGTAGCAGGGAGATTCTAAGGTTGAGAGGAGAGTTGGGGATTTCATCTGTTAGTGCAGTGAGTAGTTGTTGAGTAGGATGGAGAGGGGAGAGGGGAGCGAATCCACTCAGGAGGAGCTTGAACATCAATTGGGAAAATTTTCCCTTTCCGAGAAGGAGACTCAATTGATAGATTTAGAAGATCATGATGTTAGAATCAGCTCAAATGAATGCAGCCGAAGCTTGGTTGGTAAAATTGTGGGCGACCGAAGAGCTAACTGGGTTGGTGTCAAGCGAGTGATGAGTAGCATATGGAGAATTGGCAGCAGATTAGAGGCTGAGCAATAACTTCTTTCAATTTATCTTCTCTTCGAGGCATGACCTAGAGAAGGTGGATTTGCGAAGGAACTGGATTTTCGATAATCAGTACCTGATTGTTAAAGAATAGAGAAGAGGGATTCACTGTAACCACCTGATATTCGATGAACTGAATCTTTGGGTCCAAATCCATAATGTGCCTATGGATTAGATGAGTGCAGATGTGGGTCTGAAAGTGGGAACATCATCTAACAATGTACAGAATGTGAATATCACTAAAGTGGATGGTGAAGGGGTGATAGGTCGGAAAATGTGCGTGTTTTAATCGGACGTTTGTATTTTTCGACCTATTTATTATTTAGATGGATTTATTTGCTATGATGTTTTATGTGTTATTTTCAGTATTGTGGAGCAATTTATGTACGCGAAGCATTGAACGGAATTTCATGTGATTAATTATCGGAGGTAGCCCAATGATACATGAATTAGGCCCACTTTCACTTTAATGGGAAAATATAATGGGCTTGGAGCAATTTGGAGCTGATCACGTTTGGCTAAAAGAAAAAAAAAGAGCCGCAGTCCTTTAATTGAGAAAGAGATTTATTTGTTGGTGAAAGCTTTTGATTGGTTAA